AGGAGGGGATTAGAGAGTGTGTTAGCGATGGCGTTGTAGGTCCACGAGCATTAGGTCGCTCGTGCTTGCTCGGCACGTGAGCGTAGGCGAGGGGAATGAGGTGGGATCATTGCAGATCGCGTGCTCCGTGGCTGTAGGAATGCACAACAAGCAATTGTGGGCAAGTCCGGTAGCGCCGGTCGGGCTGCGGTAGATAGCAATGCAAGCCAACACCATTGTATATAGTTGTGTGTGGATCTAACTTGGAAGTAAGGAAATGGAAGGGGTAGTAAGCAAGACGTATTTTGGGTATGTTTATGGGAGGGGTTTGATTTAATCTGATTTTGGAGGAGAGGGGGTTCTGTCATTTTAGGTCGAGGAGAGAAAATAATGTGTTTGGTCATGGCTTCTGTAGTCGAGTGGTCTGTACGAATGTATGGGTTACGGCGCGCATAGCAGGACCCTGTGCATAGTTCAGGAAATAGGTAGTAGCAGGAGCGATCGTATTCTAATTAGTCGTTTTGTTGGCTTTGTAGTGCTCATGTTACGGCGTATTTTTCGTGATGTATTTTGTCCCGATTCTACGTGCCAATCTCATTGGAAGTGTATCACGAGTTTTTGTTTTTCTGAAACCTTCTCTGCGGGGTGTACTTGGAAAAGTCTTGTCGTTTGTGTATATTAGTTTGTCACCATATGCATGTTTTTTTGCGGTATGCTTATGCAGTAGTGGGAGCGGTCGCAGTCTAATTAGTCGTTTTATAGTGGGTTTATATTGCTTGTGCTAAGGCACTTTTTTCGTGATGTAGTTTGTCCTTGTCTTTCGTGCTATTCTACTTGGAGGTGTATCACGAATTTTTGTTTTTCTGAAATTTTCTGCAGGGTATTCCTGAGAAAAGTATTGTCGTTTGTGTATCTTAGTCTGTCGTTATATGCTTTTTTTCGTTTTTTTTATTTTCCTCTTTTTTTTTCGTTTTTTTCGCGGTATTCTTTACGCAGCGAGCTAGTTTTTTTATTTTTTGTATTTGTGCACGTAACTGTATCTGTATGTGAGTCCCATAATTTTTATTTTGTAAAAGTTAGTGTATAGGTATCATTTTTTTTTTGTATTGTAGAAGTTCTTAAGTTGAGTTTTTGAGGCACCATCGGCTAAGGATATCATCATTCTGGCGAGCATGATTTTGGGATAGGCTTATTCAATTTGTGAAGGGAAGATGACCAACTTGTAAAAGGAATTAAATCTTTATCCATTTAATTTGAGTCACATAATTTTTATGTTTTGTGTAGAATTTAGTATATATAACTGTAGCAGTTTATAAGTTGAGTTTCTAAGTCACCATCGGCTAAGGATATCATCATTCCGGCGAGCATAATAATTGCCTTATTCAATTTGTGAAGGGAAAACGGTAAATTTAAAAAAATATTTTTTGTATTTTGTATTTTGTATTTTGTATTTTGTATTTTTATATATTATTTAATTAATTATTAACTTTATTTACTTATTTTAAGTTATTTACTTATTATTTATTATTTTTTTATTTTTTATTTTATTTTTTTATATGTTATATTTTATCTTATTTAAAAATCAAAATAAAAACCTGTTATTTTTCTATTATTACTTATTTTATTACTATTATCATTATTTTAATTTTCTTTTTATTTCGTAATATTATATATTTTAATTTATAATTTTAATAATTATTATTAATGATCAATTATTATTCATTATTAATTTTATTAATAAAAAATGAGCTTGTGTGTGTGTGTGTGTGTGTGTGTGTGTGTGTGTGTGTGCGTACGTGTGTGTGTGTGCGTATGTGCGTGTGTGYGTGTGTGTGTGTGTGTGTGTTTGTGGGGGGGGTTGTCTATGTATGTGTGTCTTGGTTTTTCTGTTTTTTATGTTTTTCATTTCTGTGGGAAAAAAAAGAAAAACCCACCCATTTCATCTTTTCTTTCTTTTATTTTTTTTTAAATATAGCGACACTTCAAAAAATAAAAGAAAAACCATAGGGCAAAAAATAAAAGAAAAAACATAGGGTTGTAGATCTTTTTCAGATCTACAACCCTATATATTTTTATTTTTATTTTTGCATATTTTTTACCTGAGAAAAAAAAAATCCCTCGCCCGCTCATACCCTGCTCAAGGCGCTCGAGCGTGGGATTGAGCGGCGCTCGAAAACTTGAGCGCCGACCGCACGCTCAATCGGCGCGCGGTTTCTCAGCCAATGGAAGAACCTCCCAGCAGACACTGGGATAATCTGATTACCTAATGGAGGGAGGCGTTCCCACAAAGGAGACGAGGCCCGAATTGAAAAGAGGAGGTCTTAAGGCAACCCCTGTTCGGCAATGACCTTCTGATGGACAAAAATGGGCAAGCATGGACTCTAATGGAGAAGGACAAGAGATGGCGAAGGTGGGTAGAAAAGGGCATATGGAAAATAGAACATATATGGGATGAAGAAAATGGAAGATGGAGAACAGAAAAGGAGCTAAGACTAGCCCTAAGGAGTCACCATAACCTGCAGAAGAACTTAGAAGATTTAATTGATGGTGTCCCTATAGCATGGAGGTCACTGTTGAGAAAGGAAAGATCGTGGAAGTCCCTATAGCATGGAGGCCACTGTTGAGAAAGGAAAGATCGTGGAAAAAAGGAGATTGGGCAACACTGTGAATTTAAGACACACCGCCAGTGGCCCTTCGCTTCAAGTCACCATCAAGGACGGGCCCAAACCTCGCGACCTTTGACATACATGAACTAGAAATTGCAGGTAAGGCCATCATAACAGTAAGAGAGGGGAAACTAGAGAGATTGGAATTTAATACCAAGGACCTGAGAAAGGTCAGAGAACTCAAAAATGACCAGAGGAGAGCAGGGTGCGGAAGAAGAAAGAGTAGAGAAACGGTATGGTTATTTCGACCAAACAAGGACATAACAGAATTAGAAATAGACCCAGGTGAATGGGGATGGTATGAGGACAGAGGGAGAGGTTGTGCCAAAAAATGGACAGCCCTGCACGAATACATAGGGTTATAAATGCAGATGCAAGGCAGCAAACCCAGACCAGGTATTAAGGAGAGGTGGGAAAAGCACGTACATACAGATCCCACATGGCTACAAACTATACCATGGTCACACTAGTCATCAATCAGACCACAAAGAGTAAGAAGTCTGCAATGGTTAATTATGCACCTAGCAGTCCCAGTCAATGCCTGGCTCGACAAGGGACGCAAGGAGGACAGAACAGCCAGGAATCAGCACCTCGGTCAGCCAGGGAAAGGGCCCCGCCCACGCTAAGTGACGGCGGACCTGCAAAAATGCAGCTGGGCCTTATTACAGGCCAGTGTGAGCAGAATGGGGCCACCTGGTAGTTGCAGCACGCGTACAGCATGCTCAACTAACTGGTAGACACAGCCCGCCAGCTAGTTGAAGATGCTGGCTGCGTGCACATTCTGGAAGGGCCCAGGCCGCAGGAAACTGGGGCAGGGCGCAACCTAGGCACAGCCTCCTCGGCCTCTGCGGCCAGCACAAAAGACTGGAGGGCGCCTGGCATCACACAGTCGACCATTCTGGCAATGAGGCCGCGCTGCACGAGCAGCTGCTCGGCACTTGTGCTCGAGGAGGAAGCTGAATGGTGGCAGTGAGGTGAGGAAGAAAGAGGGAGAGCAGCAGCCATAGCTGGGCTGCTCGCTCCATAGCCTGTGTAGCAGAGGTCCTTCAAGTTGGTGGAACAGGAGTGCGAGAAGGAAGAAAGCCAGTGTGACGAGGAATGTACCTGGTGTTGACGAAGGCGGGCTGTTCTATCAGAGTCTTCAAGCGGCACTGGGATGATGACATGTGGACCAGTTGCTGACATAAGTAGGCCAGTCTGATACTATTAGGAGTTGTAGGAGGCAGAATAGGCAGTACAGTCACCTGTAGGAGGGCTACATTGTTGTTGTATAGGTGTGATTGGAGTGTTGGAAGGACTTTCATTATGAAGAGACTTTGGTGCTTTGTATGTTCCTCTTTGGTGTGCATCTCACTTTGATTTTTCTGCTTTCACTTTCAGCTCAATGATGTCTGGTCTTCTTTTTTTTTTTTTTTTTTGGACCATTTCTCGATTTATGCGTGTCATCCTTGCGCAGGGGCCATACTAATCTTCTGTGTATCGTTCCAATTTTAATGATGTCTGGTCTTCTATGGGATGTTACAACTGAAAAAAAAAAAAAAAAAAGAATCCCACATTGCTCTGATAGGAGGAGGAGTATGAGCATCCCCTCCTATCAGTCCGGGTCCAGCGTCCCTTATATCAGAACTGCCATTTTGTCAAAATGGACATTTTTTATTCTTTGAACGAAATTGAAACCGAGTTTTTTGGCCGAAAACTCGTCCAAATTTGCTGCTCGTGAGGGTCCGGCGTTCTGAAAACACTGGACCCCCTGGATGTATGTGGACTTAGCTTGAGACCAGATACATCCAGGGGAGTCCACATACATCCAGGGGGTCCAGTGTTTTCAGAACGCCGGACCCTCACGAGCAGCAAATTTGGACGAGTTTTCGGCCAAAAAACTCGGTTTCAATTTCGTTCAAAGAATAAAAAAAGTCCATTTTGATGAAATGGTAGTTTCAGCAAGAAAAATTCCCCCGGGGCCATTACATGAGCAGCAAATTTGGACGAGTTTTCGGCCAAAAAACTCGGTTTCAATTTCGTTCAAACTTCAAAGAATTAAAAATGTCCATTTTTATGAAATGGTAGTTTCAGCAAGAAACATTCCCCCGGGGTCATTACCCGGTTGCAACTTGGTTATTGCTGTTTCACATTTTGCTTATTTCCTTGCATTTGGCAGGTGGTGGAACAGGGCCGATGAGATGAGTCCACCGCATCAGTTTTATGGACTTTTATTATTAGTAATTTACTTGGGGGTTCTTGTAAGCGTGGACGCGTGGTGATTGGCCTCGCCATTACTGATTTGTTCTATCTTAATGTGATTTTTAAGATGAGAGGTGAAGATCACACTGGACTATTGATTGGTGCTGGATACAGGCAGGCTACGTAGTAATGAACGATTCGTCAAATACGTGGATGACTGATGTGTTGAGGATAGAAACGGCTGAAGCGATCGCCGTCTATCATGGCCTGGTGAACCAACGACTCGTGGCAACTGCAAGAAGGTAAGAGAGAGAGTTCTTTTTTTTTTCCTCCATAGTTTTTTAACCATGCTGCTCCTGTCCTTTCTGAGCAGAGAAGAAAGGGGGAGAAAATCATGCCGCCGATGCTTTGGAACGTTGGAAACTAGAACTACAGCCCATGGATAGCCAGACCACGAGGTGCACTATCTGCACCAGACGGTGTAAACAGGTCCAAGTGTGCTCTGAAAGGGGCTGCAATGGGATTTCGACATCTGACAGCCCGCCCCCTGCAGATAAGATCCACCTACCAACTGGCCTACAGTCTTCCGCCGAATACAAAGTACGGTGATTTTAGCCGAATTTAAACTGAAAGATAGACCAAATTCAGATATAATGACCGTACGTTGTATTCGAGGGAAGACTGTAGCTCAGTTGGTACACCCATGAACTGTTGAAATACAGACCCAAGGTTAACTCCAGATTGATGCAATTGAATAGAACAGATTAATTCTGAATTTAACTGGGGCTGGTCAGCTCAATGATGGTATGATTCGTATCTCAAGGCGGTCGCCCTTTTCTGAAAAATAAATGAGACAACTGCGCCTGTGACCGCTGCACAGTTTCGAATCCGCAGCAATACCAGTCCACTGCAAGCTTGGGGGAAGACCAGTTCGAAACTGCAAGAAAAACAGTAAACTGCGCGTTCTACAGCCTACCGGTTCGATAATTGGCAAAAATGGGAGGTGGCGGTCGTGTTGTTGTTGTTGTTGTTGTTGGTTTTTTT